AAAAGCTTCAAATCCCTCGGCAGGTCATTCCACATCCTCGACATTCTAATCTGAAATGAATTATTATATACATATATTTGAATGAAACCGGGGATATAATAATTGTGGGTTTCTGCTGTAATGATTGAAATTAAAATTATCTACAATATATTCAGGAAAGCCATTTACCATAATTTTATAAAAGAACAATAAAATCCTGATATTAATATAATTTTGAAACGAACACCCAAGAAATTGTAATACATAAGGAGAAATATGGGGACGTAGTCTTAGCCCATATACAAATCTCACTATTCTATTAAATATTTTAACAACTCTTTTAAATTCTACATTAGTAGTGCCACTAAATACCTCCATACAGTAAAGAATGTGAGACATTAGTAAGGTTTTAGCAAGGCGAATTTTTATCCACAAAGGAAAGTATAGATCCAAAGAATATAACCTTCTCAGCAAAAAAGATATTTTAGATGAAACGTGATCAATATGTGATGAAAAGTTAAGCCGATCATCAATAAAAACTCCAAGACACTTCATTCTATTAACAAAATCTACTCTCATACCATCAAGGGTAATTATCATGTTTTGTGAATCAAAACCAATCATACTAGTTTTTCTTGGATTTACAGTAAATCCATTATCAGAGGCCCAAAACATTACTTCACTAATTACAAAATTTACACCTTCTTGCAAGACGTCTAAAAAGTTTTTATCAGCATAGCATAGTTTATGCTGATGATGTTCAGTTTATTTGAACATCATCAGCATAAACGTATGGCTGGCAGGATAGACCATTACAAACATAAAAAAGGTCATTCATGTAAATCATGAACAATAACGGACCAACAACTGAACCTTGCGGAACACCACTAGATATCGGGAGATCTGAAGAAATGGAATTGCCAATAGAAACAAATTGACTTCTACCTCTTAAATATGAGCATATAAGTTCGCAGGCCAGTAATGAAAAACCAAATTGGATAAACAATTTTTCAACAAGTTTAGAGTGTATCACTCTGTCAAACGCTTTTGAGAGCTCCACTGAAAGAAGAACTACATTCTTACCACTATCCAAATATTTTCTGACAGAGTCAGTCATACTAATAAGAAGAAGTCATACCAATAAGAACGTTTTATAGTTTATATCAATATCATTCTAAACATATAAACAATTTAGTGAATACGCCCCGATAAACAAAGTACTACTCCATGGAGCACAAAAACAATTACCGAATTACCTACAATTAAATATACTTATAATACAAAAATATAATTGGTACATTATTTAGTAGAAAAATATAACATATATTTATAATTTTTTTTTTTTAATTATAATTATATTTTTTTTTTTAATAGTTAGACTTGAAGTTTTGCACACACTGATTAGGATTCTATAAATTGGTGAAAATAAAGATAATATTATTAGCCTAAAAATTACAGTAAAACATAATAGGAGCGAAATGCAATAAGGTTATATAAAAGATTTTTTTTTGCAACAAATGAGTTATACCAATTAAATATTTTATAAAAACTTAGGGGAAATGGCTGTACAATATACATTTACATAGTGGAATATCATTAAAAATATGCTCAGGGTTAATTATGAATTCGACAAAAAAATATTTTTAAATGCATATAATGAATGTGAAAATTTACGTTCCTGGTAAGGAATAACAGTATTCCATAAGCGCACTATGTTAACTCGAAATGATCTCGTCATAAATAATGAAACATGTGCTGGACATATTAAAGAATGTGTTCTATTTGAAATAGCAAAGTTAAATTTATTCTGCAAATAGTCAGGTTTACCATATTATAGTTTTAAAAATGAAAATCATTTTTCTCAACTGAACATATCGAAAGAAACTACAACCAAGTAAATCAACGTAATATTGAGAAACATGATCACTAATCCGAAGTCCATAAATATTACGTACTACACTATTAAAGGATCTTTTTAATCTGTCAATGTTGGAGTTTGAAGTACATGAGTAAACTTCAATACCATAAATTAATAACGGTAAACACAATGATAAAGCAACACGACGTTTTATTGAAGAGGGCAAGTAAAAACCAATATTATATAACTTTCTCAATGTCCAAGATATTCGTAAAATTACTGAATTTATATGAAAACTAAATGTTAGCTTATCATCCAAAATAATACCAAGTGTTTTATAATGAGGAACAATTTCTAATACTTCGTTATTCAGAATAATGTTTAAAGAAATAGATTGTTTAGAAAATACCATTACCTTGCATTTCATAGCATTTAGTTGTAAGAAGTTACGTTTTGACCAATCAACTAAAAGATCAAGTTATTTCCATTTTACAAAAAATTAATAAGCAGAATACATTTTCAATACCAATAGGAAAGTTGTTGAGTTCGCACTCATCAGATAATTTAATATTTCGCAATTATATTACAATTCCAATGAGTCTGAACACAATATTAAAGGATTAGACATTAAAAGCTCAAATCATTACTTTTTCAGTGCGAAATTAAGTTCGACAAAATGATGAAACTCTTTAAAGTCTAAGATGGAGCATAGGCATAAATAGGTATATTAGAACAAATTTAAGCGAAAATTAACCCTTTGGTGGTTATTAACCCATTGTCTACAATTAAGATGACTTATATAACACAACTTTTTTCTTTTTCTTTCGGACTCCCGAAAGTTTTTTAGAACTACTTTTCAGCGTGAGGCTCTTTGTTTCCAAGCAGCGCTTGCTACTGCCCAAAATATTAATTAGTTTTAATACAAAATTTTTTTCTTCCTTCCTACCGCAATTTTCCATTTTGTTGCTAGAAATTTCGAAAATTCGGATCTTTAAATACCGTAATTCCTTGCAAACACCATGGATGACAGGATGACAAAAACACATGTCTGATAAGGACATCATCGTTTGCGTAGAACTTTAATCAAATTTGAAAATACTTATAAGCTAGCACCCTAGAAAAAATTAAATTACTCAAAACGCGCAGAACTGCGCAAACTAATTCACAACATTTCAGGTTATTCAATTCTTCTTATTTCAGGTTTAACAAACGTTAACATTTTCTTAAAAGCTTTCATCAAGTTAAAATTTTAAAATCAAATTTTTTCAAGATTAATTTATATATTTTCTTTTTCGGAGTGAAGGAATATTATTTCCAACCGTTTACAAGAATATATATAAACTACTGACACCTCTAAGCGCTATCCATTTGACAGTTATTGAAAATTATTTACACACTTTCCAGAATTAACGTTTAAAAATAATAATAGACTCTACAAAATAAATTTTTTAAATATTTTGAAATTATGACTTTGACTGCGTGCAGTAAAACAGTGTTAAGCATTTCGCAAAAATTTATTGCGAATTTGAATATATTGGTGTATTGGAAATAGGATATCAAAAAATTTATTGCGAATTTGAATATATTGGTGTATTGGTAATAGGATATCAAAAAATAAATTATATTCTCTGCTCCAAAATTTGAATTTCGCACAGGAAAACTGGTAGTTTGAACTATAGTGCTGTGGGAAGACCAATGAATAAACGTAATAATCTGCATGTCGGATAAAACTAAAGCACAACCTCCTTCATTTTGTGCAAAAGAGTAATAAAATTCATAGCCAATATAATACAATAGTAAATAAAGATGTTTACAAATTCCAAATAATTGTGGTAATATAAAAAAAATACAAGAGACGTAAAAATTTATTGACCAACAGTGGCTTTTTAAATTACTATGAATTAAATTAAAAAAAAATAAAATTTTAAAAGTGATTTTGTTTGTGTTTAAAATATGTCAATAAGCCTAGGATTGAAACGACAAAATTAAAGTACATAACTTTGGATATTTAATTTTTTTTTTTAATTTTAAGAAAATGTCAAGAGTTATCGTGAAAATCATATATTTTTATATGTAATTTTTGAGCTTTCGCTGTGGCAATACACTTTTTAGGAATTAAGATACAAAATGGATATAAATAAAAATATACTTAAATATAAAGATATTTTGATAAAAAGCCTAAAATTAAATTAAATTTCTTCACAAATCAAAATGTCGTATGGGACTTAACATTGGAAATTAATATCAATATAGAAACCATTTATATGGTATAAAATCCTAAAAACAAAGTTTGTTTATTCTTTTTTTTATAAAAAAGATTTCTAATAAATATAATCAAACGAAAACTATTTCAAATATTTTGGTATTTATTCTTAATTTTTATATAATATAATAAAATGTTTCTATGATGGTATTAGTCCCAAACTCTTAACCCGCTAATTCCATTTTTACCCATTCTAAAGTTTTCGAATTGTAAAGTAGTGCAAAACTGGTCAAAAACTGTTCTGAATATCGGTAAGTTTTCGATATTTATTAATGTCCCCAAAACTTCTTCGACTCTAAATAATTAAAAAAAAATAGTTTTATAGATGATTTTAATACTTTTCCTAATTTATTTTATATTCATGTTATCTTTCTATTCTATATATATCAAAATTAGTGTGGGTTTGTATATTTGTATTTTTGAACCTTATAGACTACTAAACGGCTAAACCGATTTTCTTGAAATTTTCACAGCGTATTCCTGTATGTCTGGAAGAGGTTATAGGCTACTATTTGTTTTGAAATTTTAAGTGGGCGAGGAGCCACCCCATATTAAGAAAATATTGTATCCGTATATAGAGTTTTGTCGGAGCCATTTTAGTGTGAATATGATTATTTAGGGCAAAAAGTGGGCGGACTAACATTAGTGGGCGTAGCACCTCCTATATAAATTAAATACAAAAATTATTTTATCTTGGAAACTATGTTAACTATGTTAATTAATATATTATTTACGGCGGGGAGCCAACAGATGATTAATAATGAATTATTTTTTTTTAATTATATTACTACTTATTGATCTAAGGTTTTTATTATTACTGAGTAATATTATTATTTAGGCTTAATATAATCAAATAAATTAATAAATAATTAATATATATATTTTTGGTTTATTTTGCAGAAATTTTATCACTGTCGAATAGTTCAATGAGTTCAGTATTTCCTTCTACAGATGCAATATCCAAAAATGTTTTTCAGTCCGGCCAAAATGAATTAGCTGCTTCATCTGTAAAAATGTCTAAAGCAGATTTGACATTTGCAGGCAAATTTAAACAAAATACTAGTTCAACTTCAGGAGGATGTAACGTTTTGAATTATAACAGCGATAGTATGAATGTAAATATTTTGACTATTAACTCTCCCAACCAAAATAAATTTTCACTATTTGGGGGTGGTGTTGGAACAACAAATTCAAACGACAGTTCTTCAAACAGTCGAAGTTCACAATTTAATGCTGTCAATGCTATTAAACCAGAAGCAAGTAATAGCAAACATAATATGGAAGATATACTAGTAAAGCCTGATATCAATGAAAAGTCGATGTCAAATATGTCTAACAAAGGAAACTCTTCGACAGATAACTTATTTGCTGGTGTTGGCTCATCAACTATTACACCATCGCAGCAACAGCAATCTATAGATTTGACCACAATGGACTTTTCATCACAACAAGCTGTAAAACAACCAAAGAAAAGAGGTCGTAAAAAGGGCTCTAAAGGAGTTGACTCCGTAATTGCAAAGGAAACTAGTTTGTCATCGCAAATGCTAATATCGTCATTAAGTGTATCTGGTAAAAAAGTCAAAACCACCAAGGAACTCTATGCTGAAATGGAAAACAGAAAACTGCGCAATGTCAAAATAGTGGGACTAGGAGAAACTGCTGGTAATTTGTCTGGAAATTGGAATACACAACAACAGCTTCAACAGAAACCAGTGATTTCCCGCCGTCCATCATTTTGCTCAGGTTTGTTTTCGGGGAGAGTGATTTACTTCGCAAAAAATCAAAATGCGCGAATTTACCACAGCATTGTTGTTATAAAAAACCACAACCAAATGACAACTTCGCGCGTTTTGATTTAATGCTAAGTACATCACACCTTCATCTTGTACTTTAAGAGGTTTATTATACTGACAAACAAAAAGTCATATGGCATATTTTTATTTTATTTATCTAATAAGATTCAGTAACTTTACTAGTGGAAGATAAGAAGTTAAAATAAAAATAAATAATTGTTTGCGACAACTAAAAAAGTTTTGCGCGTTATAAGTACAATTCACAGAAAAAATATGGAAATATTCCGTCGTATGACGGAATATGTCAAATGAATTTTACTATTCATTAGAATTTGATGACTCTATTCCATTTTATTGGTATTTAACAGGGTTCAGAAATATTCATGTACGAACGCTTCAATTGATACATTCAGAATAAATATACATGAATGAAATTTGCAATTTCTGTTTTTTAGGTTCACATTCGGAAATGAGAAGCTAATTTTTCTTTAACGTGAGTGAAATGAATGAATATTTGATACTCTGGTATTTAAGTCTGAGAAGGAAAATAACTATTCCACATTATTTTTATGAGTTATTTTAACGTCATCACCACATATAACTGTTGTTCCGAGTGATTTGTTTAAAAAAATAAGTCAGAATTGAAGCACTTTGGTTATGTGGACGAATTATTTTCGTTCTCTGATTTATGTAATATGACATTGGACAAAATAATTAAATGATTCATGATATTTCACTGGGGACATTTGACGCAATTTTTCTTTATAGTGCAAAATTTGGAACAGTTTTTTTTTTTTTTTTTGAAGCGTAGAAAAAATTTATAATCAGTATAAATGTTTTAATACCTATGTTTATAATTGTAGTAATAGTGTTCAAGTCTATCAGTTCGGAGGTCGTGAGTTCGATTCCTACAACAGACTCTGATAAAGGGCACAACAGGCCTGTGAGTGGCCTTGGAGTATTTCATTGGATCTGTTGAAACATTTCCCAGATTTTAGAAAAACTAGAAATGTATTTCAATCTCAATAAGAAAATTAAACCTGATTAAATTAGTAGAGGTTAAAATTTTTCACATCAGAGTAGAGAAGTGTATATACAGTGTCTCTCATAAGTATTCGAATTTAGGTAAACTATGAAAAGAAACCAAATTTAATAATATATTTTGTGTGGGAAATAAATAAATTAATTTGTTATATTGTCTAGATAGTCCTTAGTTTTGATATCACGCCCCTTAAAACTTGAAAACTTTACATTTACTTAAATTAGTTGTGCTTTTTTTAAAAAAAGTCCATGAAACTACTTCACAAAAGTATGCGAATTTTTCCTGTATTTCATATTTGATCATATTATACGATACACACATTTTAGAATCGCATGGTTTTATGCTTAATATGGGTTTAAGGGGTTACTATCAACCGCATGGATATATTTTTGACCCATTTGGTCCACAATTTTGGGGGATTTGTACCCTCTTTTCATGTAATATCATTAAAATGGCGATTTTTGGCTATATTTGTAATGTTTTCACCCTTTTTCCAGAGATAAAACCAAAATTTAATATTGGAATTTAATAGAACCCATAGGGTATCTAAAAATAATATTTTTTGTTATAAGGATCTGTACTTAAACGTTCCAAGATGTATTTTTGCTATCGTTTTGCAGTTTCTAATTGAATTATCTGGATCATAAGTCCCTTTTCGTACCTCTAGGGACGATATTTTCCGACAAAGTTGTCTAGTGTATATTCATGTACATATTGGCACTAATATATTTTAAATTTTCAATATATTATAGCGGTATACAACCCCAAAACATGCCTTAACAAAACGTCATCCTATATAGTAGATTTCAGTTTTTACTACTCGTAACTTTTACGCTTATGTTGCCCGTTACAATAACACTGTAAGTCCAAAATTTTGGTTTTAATTTGATCATAGTAAATAATATTTAAACACATATCAACATTTTTGAGTTAGATCATAATGATATCGTGCCATGCAGCTTGGAGGCCATTGGTATATAAAAATAATTATTTTACTGTTTTGAATGGTGTTTCTTCGAGGCATGTTTTGGAGTTGTACACTTCCACAACACATTGAAAACTTAAAATGTATAAAAGCTGATATCTAAAAGAATATATACCAGAAAACTTTCCCCGAAAATAGTTGATCCTAGTATTATAAAAATGGACTTAAGTTCCAATATATTGAATTAGCGAAAGAAGAATGATCCGAATAATTTATCTTGGAACGTTTAAATACAGATTCTTGTAACAAAAGATATTATTTTTAGATACCCCAAGGGGTCTTTTAAGTACCAATATCAAATTTTTGTTTTATCTCTGAAAAAAAGGAGAAAAATTTACAATTATGGCCAAAAATCGCTATTTTAATGATATTACATGAAAAAAGGGTACAAATTCCCCAAAATTGTGGACCAAATGGGCCAAAAATATATCCTTTCCGTGGATAGTAACCCCTTAAAACAATATTACGCATAAAAACCATTCGATTCTAAAATTTGTGTTGCGTATAATATGAACAAATATGAAATACAGGAAAAATTCGTATACTTTTGTGAGGCAATTTCATGGACTTTTTTTAAAAAAGCACAATTAATTTAAGTCAATACAAATTTTTCAAGTTTTAAAAAGCGTGATATCAAACATAAGGACTATCTAGACAATATAACAAATTAATTTATTTATTTTGCACACAAAATATATTATTAAATTTGGTTTCTTTTTATAGTTTACCCAAATTCGAATAATTATGAGAGACACTGTATAAGTTTGTCATTCCGTTTGTAATTTCTATAATATAATTTTCCGACCCCATAAAGTATATATATTTTGGATTCTTATAGGTAGCGGAATTGATTAAGCTATGTCCGTCTGTGTTTGTTGAAATCAGTTTCATAAAAAGAAAATTTCATAAAAAGACAATTTTTTTCATGCTTTGATATAAGCAACAACAACAACACTGCTTATTCATTGAGTATTTCGTTTTATATGTTTGGATGGCTGTGTGTTTCATTGCCTTGTGTATATCGTTTTTGTTTCTTGGTGCATTCAGTTTCGTATATTTGGATGTCTGTTGGTTTCGTAGCGTTGTGTATTTTGTTTTTGATTTTTTTTTGAGTATTTCGTTTCGTATGTTTCATTGCCTCGTGTATATTGTTTTTGTTTTTTGGTGTATTCAGTTTCGTATGCTTGGGTGTCTGTTGCAGATGTCGATGCAAAATGATCGGCGGCGGCGGCGCAACCATTTTAGGTCGGCGGCGGCGGCTTATATTAGAAAATAACGGCGGCGGCTAAATTGTCGGCTCAATTTAACTTTTTCTTCAGAAATTGACCTTATAAGCGTTTATTATATTGAAAAATTTCTGTATAATAGTCTGTTATATACAAACCTGTCTGTTTTCTGTAGAAAATGGACATTATTATAGTAGCTATCACTATTTTAATATTAGCACAATATTGTGTGCCAACTCTTTTGAATTTGCCATAAGAATTTAAAATAGTGGCAACTCTATTCAAATTGGTGAAATTATTTTCTGAAAGACATGTGCGATTCCAATCTTTATCAGCGGCTACGTTTAAGCCGGCTTAGCCTTTGAGCCGAAAGAAGTCGGCGGCGGCGCGGCTTGCTAAATATTACCGGCGGCCTCGGCTTGTATCTCTGGTCTGTTGGTTTCATTGCGTTGTGTACTTTGTTTTTTTGTGTATTTCGTTTCGTATGTTTGTATGTCTGTTGGTTTCACTGCCTTGGGTATTTTGTTTTTTTTGTGTGTTTATTTCGTTTAGCGTTTGTTGTTGTTCGTTTTGCTATTGCTATAATAATGATATAAACCGGAAAATGAAATAAATTAAAATGAGGCGGCACTTACAACCGAACGGATCAGTACTTTAGGCGAACTAGCCAAACGCGGTTAAAGGACACGGCATCGATGTATACTGGACACATTGCACTATGTTTCAGACGTCCACATTTTTTGGCCAAAACTATTTATTTTGATGTCGCATTTTAACAAATTTTTAATGGCAGTATTCTAGGCCATACTTCGGAACTACAGAAAGTGTATTTTGTTTCCATCAACATTTAATAACTCTTTAATAAAAAGCCAATAAAATTGCTTTTTTCATTAAAAAAATAAAATGTAATTGCAAATACAGATTTTCTCAGATTGTTTTTTTAACTTAAACGAAGAAACAAATCAAAAAATTTATCTTGGAAATGAAAGATAAAAGAAAGTATTTTAATAACAGGGTGTGACAAAATTGCCAAAAATCAATACACTCCTCGCGAGACCTAGTGATGTTGGTAGGTCTAGTAGATTACAGTACCATTTTTAGAATCCGTATATTTTACAAAATTCCGTAAAAAATATAATAGTGTGTGTACTTTTTGAAAAGTAGTTAGTTAGTTAGTTAGTTTGAAAGGAGGATGTATATACATCAAATCCGAAGAAATACACCTAGGCCTCTATCGGGCCTGTTGTGCGCTCCTTAACCAGTGCCTCAGGTGGGAATCGAACCCACCACCTCCGGTCTACCAGACTAGAACACTAACCACTAACCTACCGGAGGCCAGTACAAAAGAAACTCTTTTCAAAACAGTTGAAAAATATTAAATCGGTTAAGAAAATTTTGAGATATAATTTTTTTAGTCTGTCTTGTCAAAAAAACTTTTGTCCAATATCTTCCGATTTTTAGGGTATATTGAAGATTCTAAAAATGTTAAAATGATCTACTCATCTAGGTCTATTAAAAGCATACGTAGAACATGGATGATTGGTATAACTTCTTAAATATTTACGATCACCAACTATTAAGCTTTTAAAAAAGTCCGACGTCTTCCCAGTATGAAACTTTAAGGATCTATTTGTCGGAAATGGTGGGATTTATTTATTTATTCATTACTGTAATATAAAAGCCTCATTAGGCCAATTAAACTATATTACAAAGAAAACAAAAAGCCTAAATATCAATTAAACAAAAATTGCTTATACCTAAAAAAAAAATCTCAAGTAATTACAAGCTATTTTTCTATTTTTCTAATTACAAGCTATTATTTCTAACTGATAATTTTTTGCGATTTTCGGAAAAACTGACTTTTTGTCATAAAATTTAATTATTCCAAAATTTAGCAAATACCATAACGATTGTAGTGACTTTTCTACATCATTTCCCCATTTTTAAATGGGTTTTTACTTGTGAGGAAATTTTTGGTTTATAAAAAATGTTTGGTAATAAAATAAATAAATAAAATATATAATCGCATTTTTAGATGTGATTAAGATGTCGTTTGTAAAGTATGACATCAGTTATTTTTTGCTGGGTATCAAACTTGTAATTTTTGACATATGATGGCATGTGTTGATGTATTTCCCAAAAATGGGGTGTTATTTCATTTTAATTTAGGGAGTTATTTCATTTTGTTGGGGCTTTTTTTTATTTTTAAATATGGGAATTATTTGATAATGAAATAAGTCCTCAAATTTGAGAATTTATTTCATTGTTGTATGGTTTTATTATAGTAAACTTCCTTGATGTTTCAGTGTTTGTATGTTTCTTAAAGAAATTATATTTTTATCTTTAATTGCAACTTTATATTTACCTAATTGTATTTGTACACTTTTATTATTCTATGGTAGTGGACTGGGTGGTTGTGACTTCTGTTTAACTGATCAATATTTTCTTTTTCTTATCATCATTTTAGGATGGTTGACTTTCAGTGTACCAGTTTTAAATGTGGTTGTCGTTCTGGAATCATACTTTGTATAATAACGGGAAATTATTTAATTTCTTAATAGCAGCTTTTTATTATCTGTGATCTAGTATGTAGGATCCGTATTGTTTGATTACATTTTAAATGATATTTCATGCTCTGGTGAACAGTGGTGTATTATATATGGGTTTCTCTTAACCGTAACTTTAAATTTGGAAATTCTACAATGACGACTACTTTTATTGCATATAGTGTTTTGTGATTGATGGCATATATTGATCTACATCTTGTGTTAGTGAAAGCTCGGCTTTTTTTACATGATATCCTTTGCTAAGAATTTTATATCTTTTTTGTCAGGCTGTCTTGTGGTGATGATTCTATTTCATCTGATTTTTGATTGCCAATACTTATTTGGATTTGTGTCTTTTTCAGAGGTTTGTTTTGTAAGTTTCATTGTTGTTTGACGCTTTGATAAGGGTGTCTTATATGGGTTTAGATTTTTTAGAGCTATTGTTACAGTGTTTTTGTCCATATTGGAGTTGTCTTGTATTAAAAAGGTGTGGTGGGATTGCTGAAGTTGGTATTTGTAGTTTAAGTTGTTTGAGTGTAGATCTTTCATTGCTTCAGATATTGTTTTATTTTCGGGTAAGGTTGATAACATTTTATTTGTATTTATAGTGCAGAGTGAGTTTTTATCTTTTGATGTGTGGGAATATCTTTAATGTTTGATTAATTCTCAGATTGTTTATAGAGAGAGAGTGTCTTGGTCATTGGGAGTTTTATTTTTATAGTTTTTATCTTCATACTTATTGTTCTCTTATTTGTTTATATACATGAGTTCTTTGCTTTGTTTTCAATTAATTTATTTGGTTTATATCCTATTCTGTCAGGAGTCTTTCAATTGTTTTTTCTATTGTGCGAATTGTTCCATGGTTTGGACACTATTTGCAATATCTAGTCTTGTTGTTGTTCTTCTTATCATTATGATTATTAGCTGTTGCAGTTCTTAAGGGATACTTAGATTAATGATTATTTTCCCTTTTTTTGTATTTTTTATATGTCACTCATTTTCTGTTATTGCATCGGGCTCTCATGTTCTTGTACTTTCAACGTTTTAGAAATTGCGGATCACGCAGGGATACAGTATCCTGACTTTGTTCGAGATTGTTTTTCTTAGCTGGTTTTAATGAACTTCCATTATTAATCTTTTGGCATTTTGAGTTAATATTAGAGTTAGGATTTAAATTTTGGATGTACAACTTTTAATATTTTTTTCAAGATTATTGATCTTATTATTAATTTATTTTTTATTTTTAATTATTTGTTATATGATTATATTTTTTATATATAACTTTTTATGGCCAATAGGCTAGGTTTATTTTGGAAATAAATTAAATTTTTACTTATTAAATATACGCGAAAACATAAGTTTTTTTTTCACACCGAAAATACTATACATTATTATATCATTAGTCTAACATTAATTATGAAATTTTTTGTCTGTTACAGATATTGCTGAAAGTGACAGCTGTACAATGACTTCTGAACCATCTCGCGATAGTGGTAACACTTTAAGTAAGACTATAGGTAAGCCTGAGACTCCAATGGATAATAATAGCAATTATTCTGAGTTAAAAATGTCCATTGCGAAAGGCGATGATGGTAGTACGCCTTCAATTGATCCAAATTCATCTTTAGCAATAACAACCAAAATTAAAAATGAAATACACGAAATTTTAAAATTATTAACACCACCACCTAGTATAAAAGAAATTGAATACCATTGTTATAATAATATAACACCATGTACTTGTACTGTTGAAGAAGTAATTGCTCCTGCAGAAAATGATTCCAATGAAAATAGTAATGGTGAAAGTAGCATACCAGATCCGAATATTAATGTTGTTGCACATTCACATATTCCGAAAATAGAAACCAGTAGTTTTACTGCTAATAATGTTAGAATTGCAGCCGACAGTTCTTCACCAAAAAGAGATCAGAAAGTTTCGTTATTGCCACAGCCACCATCAAAAATTAAGAAATCTATTTTTGACTTGGATTTTGACGATGACGAAGACCCCTTAAAATCAATAATAGCCGATATTGTTGGCAAAAATTCGAAACCAGACGCGGAGGCAGAAACAAACGTACCAGTTGTTAATGAAAAACCTGATATCCCATTAAGCACCGACGATGATCTCGGTAAAGTTGATCATCAAACTGCACCATCATATGCCTTAAACGTTCCTACTACTTCTTCTGATATGATAGTATTTCCCTCGTATGAAATTAAATACGACAAGGATTGTGAAGCTAAAAACCGTTTCGACGTACAGACACAAAAAATAACAAAATTTCACATAGATACTTTACATAATTGTTTTATACCCAATGTAAATGGCAACTGGAATCATTCCGATTATATTGATACCGCCGTTCGTTCTAAGTCATTGGAAAGAAATTCCAATGGCAATGACCAGGGGCCAGAAGATTTAATTATGGATGGTTACGATGTAGTGCCATTGTATGGTTCGGATATAAATGAACAAATAATTAAAGATCTAAGCCATGTCAAATTTACAAAAAAATATAAATTTAAACACACAAAATGCAAAAATGAAATATTATTCCACATACCATTTTTGGGGGTATCCCGTACACCTGATGCTACATGTGTTTCAGACGTCAAAATGGGAAACAAATACTTACAAAAAATAAAGTTGGAAGAAAAGGAAAATGATGATAATAAAATAAATTTAAATAATACGAAAAACAATTCTATATTACCCAACGAAAACGAAGGATGTGATGCCAAAGAGATGGAGAGGGTACAGAACGTTGACTCTTCAAATATTATTAATTTAACCCATAAAAAATCAAACTTAAAACGTACCAAGGAAAATAAGAAATTAAATCGATCCAGGATAAAACGCATGAAATCAACAATCTCATATGACAAAAATTATGAAGGTAATATGAAAAACAAAGAATCCCCCAAAAGTAATCAACATAGGTCTTCTAGTGGTGGTGATTCTGACTCAGATTATTTTGATGGCGACTTTGTTAACGACCATAACTATGTTTCAGAAACTGATCAAAATATTAGCAGCCAGGAACAAGACAGTAACAGTAACATTAGTAATGAATCTGAACATGAGGTTGTAAATCAAGACATCAATGAACACACTGAAGGTAAAAATCATATTGTATTGATAATTAAGAAAACCGCGGGCTCCCCCTCCTCCTCCAACTTAAAAACGATTTCCCCATTTAATTCCTTAACACACTTGTCATCAGATAATGAGTACAGTCCTGAGGAAAAAGCAAACCTTATATTTGTTGCAAACGAGGTAAAAAATGATAGTAGTTGCCTTAAGTCTGATAGCGATATATATAAGGAGAGCGAAGGAGACATCAAAATGTCATCATTACGACAACAAAAACGTTTAAGAAAGAAACAAAACAAGGATAATGTAACAACTCAAACTCATAAACTACATAATACTTTATTTTATCACGAAGAACTATGTCCGATGGTTTGGAATGGTTCTCATTGCCACAAAGAACGCATATTTCAAATAAGCAGCTGTAGTTCTGGTTGTAGTGAAGACGAAGAATCATCTAATGTAAATTTTACTGAGAAATGCACTACATCTTCACCATCCTCATCGACATCATCAGAGTGTTCTGACAATAAATACGAAGGCCATATGTTAAACTTGCAACAAGATATTATACAGTCAGAGTTTTTAAAAAGGTGTACTATACAAAGGGACATAGAAATTGAGAGTATGGTGCCAGAAAATGCAAAAATCCAAAGCGAAGACGAAGAAGGCCATGATGATGATCTACCAGAAGAAAATAATAATATGTTATTATCTTTCAATAATATATGTAATAAATATACCCGCGATGAAAATGCTGACAGTTATAAACAACCACAAGAAGAAAATAAAGACCATGATGAAAATAACATGCTGAAGCAGCAACAAAAAAAATGTGATGACTATAATAATTTAAATAATAATAATAATTTTAATTTAATTAAATATATTGATAATAAAACTAGTTCTGTTAATAATAATAATAATTCATGTAGCAATAATTACTCAGATACAAACATCGTCATAAGCAGCAGTAGTTGTAGTCATAAAAATCCCACAAATTACGCTCTTGTTAACCATAAAAATCTCAATAACAACGACAACAATAGTATGAAGGAGGAACAAATAAAGCCACTCAAAGAATATCAAACTGGCATACGTGCCGTAGATGAGGATGTTAATGACGATGATGGTAATAATTGCGCCCGTTTGCAACAATTTAAAGAATGGCATGAAGTTCTACAACTACGTTCATACAACGATGAATTATTAACTGTTTTGCCATATGTTGTACTTGAATAACTTAACTTGTTTACAATTATTTTTCTATTAAATACATTTTTGTAATTTTAATTTCGGATTCTTGTACTTAGTATGCCCTTCTTGAAAAAAACATAAGACAAAAACAAAACAAGCCATATTTCTTTACAAAAATGTATATTTCATATTCGTATAATAAATTTTTATGAGCTCAGGGAGATTATATTTAAAACGCATAAAAATCAGAAATTTCGTTAACAATATTTTTTTTTAATTCTTAACATAAAAGTCTATGATAATTATAAGGTACAACTTAAGAAATGTGTAAAAATGTATTTATTATTTTTCTTTGTGATTTTTGGACTCGATTGGGAAATATTTTTTAAATGTAGGCATGTTTGTAAAAAATATTTGTTATTTATAATACAATATTTCAAATATTGAGTCACTAAAGCCTCGTATATAAAATGATAACACTTGTTATATTCAAAAAATACTGAATTGTTTTCAAAATTTTGAAAAAAAAAAATAAAACAATTTTATTCGACGAATATGAAGAAACTATATTCGAATTAACCAAAAAGTTATCACAGTCGACTTGTACCTTATAATTATTTCGTATAAAGTTTTTAAAACTTTTAATGTAATATTTACGAATATAAAATTGCATCGAATATTTTGCATCCAAATAACTTGTCCATATAATTTATGAAGTAATTTGAAATCATTTTTAGATCAATGTCTTGTGTCATTATGAAATTTTTCTTGTTTCCAATTATTTTAAAGGGTATAATTTGTTTGTTAACTTGTTCATTTATTTAATGTTTGATCTTAATATCAAACGATCCAATTTCATTATTTAATTTTAGTTCTATTTTTTGCTTGTTCTTATTTATTACTTTTTTAAAAAATAGCTTTTTTAGTTTTTTATTATTTTTCTTAATATAACGTTCAGAATATTTTTTAAATTTTAAAACCTAAATGATTTCTTTCACATTTTGTTAAAATATTTTTAGTTTTGACCAAAATAGTTATTTAAATTTTTTATACAGAATGGCTTCAGTTATGTTTTGTATGAAATTATTTTATATCCAATAATTATTTTAAAGGGTGTATCTTGTTTTTTATAGCTCGTATGTTAACTTGCTCATATCTTTAATGTTTGATGGGATTATCAAACATTCCAATTCAATAATATAATTATAGTTTTCTTTTTTGCTTGTTCTTATTTATTAATTTTTGAATGAAAATGCTTTTAGTTATTTTTAATAATTTTTGAATTTTCTTTTAATATTCTTAATATAACATTCAGTAATATTTTGTTAATTTTTAACATATTTTTCTGTTTATGTAAAAATATGTTGAGTCATATAGTTTTTTAGACAGAATGTGTTGAGTCATATAGTTATTCTTTAGACAGAATGGCTTCTTTTGGGATTTAAAAGAAAAACGTGAATAAGATTTCATTTCTAAATATTTTTCAATTTAAAATCAGACTTGAATTTATTTGAAGCATAATCTCAAATTTAAAATTAAAAACGCCAAAGATGAGAAATCATTTTAAACGTTCGAAATTTACAAAAGTTAGAATTACATTTAATTTGAGCTAAAATTTTTGGATTTGATGGAATGTATAAGTTGTTTTTGTTATTAGTCTTATTATTAACCATCATAGCATAATAATACTCTCGATTTTTCAACTTTTTTTTTGTAAAACAAACATCTCACTATATAGTTCAATCTATTAATATTTCTGAATGTAATATATCAATATGTTGTCGTTAAAACTTTTCTATTTTAATAACTTCTTTAATCTTTAATAATAATTTAGTTTCGTTTATTATAGTTTAGTTTAGTTAAAATCTTTGCATTTTTTTATTTCTTATCGGTCATATGTTTTTGTTTACTTAATTGATCAAACTATTTTATCTATAAAACACAATACAATTTTTTTTAATGAAATAACTTATTTTTTCACGATGAATTTCAGCTTGAAAACAACTGTAATTTTTACCAATAAATTAAACAAACAATAAGCTTTTATTTAGTTTTATATTTTGCGTTTTTAATTATATTTGCACAAAAAAATTCTTAATTGTTTAACAATATTTATCTAACATATAGAATTTTTGAAATAAATATTTCTTAAAATGTTCATACATATCTGAATAAAAATTTTTGAGTAAATGATTTTACCAAAAAAATATTAATTAAATTATTTTTACCATTTAATTGAATTGATTCATGAAACACAAATTAAATTTACTCAAATACAAATAGTACCATATTATTTTTCATTATTACAAGAATTACGGATCAAAAACCAGTTCTTGCTGCCAGTGTTGAATTCTAAATATAATGATTGATAGATAAAATCGTTTGAAACATTAATAAAAATTTAAACATTCTCAATAGATCTTAAAACTGCATGTAGCTTCATTTGAGGTTCATATTTAAACAGAGTTGTTTTTGAGTAAAATGGCAAATAATTAAAGTTTTAGTTTATAATCGACTTGTAAATACTAAATAGTTTATATATAAAAATTATACGGGTATTAACATTTAACAACTACTGCTGCTTTATATGTATAACATTTAAAAATAATATATACACATCTATATATACAACAAAACTTATACAAGAACAAAAAATATTAAAATGAGACTATTGTATACTGTTTTGATGAAATGTAAATGAATTTTTTAACCTTGTTTTAGTGTCAATATTTGTTTTTTTTTTTTCTTTTTTAATTATTTTTAAAACATTTATGAATTTCGCTCATTTTCTAATATTTGGATTTGTCTTAATAAAATATTAATTAATACATGTTACCTAAATTTACTTATAGTACTGAAAATGTAATCCTAAAAATAATAATACTTTTGTGAATTACGATAAATTTGTATAAAGAATATGTTGATTTAGGGAATGAATTAATTTTTAATAAAATTATAATTAAAAATTTCGTTTATGTTTTATTTATATCAAAGGTAGTACAGTGTCCAAAGCTAAAGCTTAGTTCAAACCATTTAATAACAAAGGTAAAAACAAATTGTTTATACCCTTACATTCGTGAGAAGGTAAACAGTGACATCCACAAGTGTTCACAAAAGCATTAATTTAACATGTTTTTAGAATAAAATTTTTTTCCAGCGAAATAAAAATTGTACTCTTTATCAATATACATACACATAAATATCGAAATTATTATTTTTATGAATTACTGTTATTTTAAGATGCTACTTTAAAAATTGTATTTAAAATTTTTTAATGAAATTTTATTAATTTATATTATTTTTACGAAATACAAGAAAAAAATAATAAAAACTCATTAATGGTTTCCAAGAAAATGGAAAAAACCCAAAAAGGGTCATTTCAGGTACTGCGCAAAAATATTCCAATTTTTTCTAAGAACTTTTTTAGAATCTCTGAACACGTGTTTTATTGCCCATTAATTAACCCATTATGCAGGTAGTGGTTATATGGAATATTTAACATTATATTTTTTGGAAGTTTGCATAATTATGTTGTAATTCCTTCCTGTGTAACTCTTAAAATGTTCAAAGAAAAAGAGTTGATCAATTCAAATTAAAAAATTTATTTATATCTGTATAATCAAGGCCGATCAATTAAATACATATAGGAATTGTTTGATAGATTCCCATCGACAATATATATTTTGTCATTACACGCATGGAACAAAGAATTCCATCGAGTATTTACCATTATCAAGTCGTCCAAAACTGCTGTCAATACAGGACGACAGAGAAATACTGAGGAAATACCAATGGAACCTTCATCTATCAGCTCCAAAAATTAACAACGAACTCAGGACTATCCTGTGAATAAAATTTAGTGTCGAAATTGTGCGCAAAGTACTAGGGAGCAATAATATGCATGGTCAAGTACCAAGGTGGAAACCGATCATATCGAAGTTAATCGATGTTAAGTGTCTTGACTCCGCAAAAAGACTCATAAGTAAGAATATTGGATTCTGGAAGGAGGTTATCTTCGACGATGAGAACAAATATAATATTTTTGGCTCAGATGGTCGTCAAATGATATGGCGAAAGTTTGGAGATGCCTTGGAATTATCCAAGTTGCTTTTTTGGGAGTCTGTGTCCGTCCACGGTGTTGGACTGCTAAAATATATTTGTAATTATAGACTAAATATTATTGTAATTATAGACTAGAAGGTCTACTTGTCAATTTTAGAGCAGAATTTGCATGCTAGTACCACCAAAATGGGGCTACAACCCATTCAATTTATTTTTCAACAGAAAAACGATCCAAAATACACGACCTGGTACGTGAAAATGTTGATCATTTACAACACTAAGTATCTTCTTTCACCAAATTTTCAATGGAGTTAATGTCTGGACATAAATTCAATTAAAATTTGTGGTTATATTTACAAGAACAACTTTTAAATCACTCATTATCCTCCAAAACCACCATACGGTTGCTTTGCATGAAGAATGGGACATAATAACGCCATAACTATTCCATAAATTGGTAGAAACGGTCCCACGACGCTTGGAAGTTGTTTTTAGAAACCAAGGCTACTATACAAAACATTAATTTCATTTTATTTATTTATTTTACTTCATAATGCTAATCTAAATATGATTTATACAAAAAAAATTCGAATACTTTTGTGAAGCAATTTTTTGCACTTTTTTAAAAAAAAAGTTAAATTAGTTTAAGTTTTTTTTTAAATTTTTAAAATGTGATATAAAATTTAAGGACTGTCTGGACAACATAATTAATTTATTTATTTATTTCTCAAAAAAAAAATTTTCCTACAAAATCTATTATAAAATTGTGTCTGTTTTCATAATACATTAAATTCGAATACTTATGAGAGACACTGTACATATGTATACACTAACTGTTTCGGCGTCAAATCCGACAGGGTTCAAATCAAATAAATAAACAAAAAAATAAAAAAGACCAAGATTTATATTTTAAATTCAAAAATAGAGAATAAATTTCAACTTTATTAATTTACCTTAGTAAATCAAAAATAAAAACTATTTGCAGAACTTAAAAACTAATTTTCTATTGGTGGCAAACAATATTTAAATACCGTTAGCGGTTTACTCGTTAGTTTTATCATAGTTTTCCATCAAAGATGTAAACTAAAAGTAGTATATTACAATGTAATACACTTAAAGAAAAATATCCGCTCATTAAATAGTTCATACTTTAACATTGCCGGCCCCCTTGCAACACTTAAGGTGTTGTAATTAAATAATTATTAGGCCATTAAGGGCCTAAGTGGTCTGTACTAAAAATAAATAGAAAAAAAAATAATAATAAAAACTATTTTTTTTTCAAATTAAATTGAGTCATTAAGGACTCTAGTTTTATTTAAGGTGGGTCATTAAGGACCCTAGGTAAGCCATTAAGGACTCGGGTTGAGTCATAAAGGACTCGGGTTGAATCATAAAGACTCAATGATTAATACGGCGACAATCCCGATATAATCCATCCGAAAATGGTATATTGGGCAAGTGGAAGCCCAGGGCTCTGCAAAATGCTGTCTTTCATCATCATCGGAGCCACTTCTGGCCCCAGAACCAACGCTACCTTATCGGAAAGATGAAATGTTGGATCGGCTAATTGGAGCCCTTTAAAAGATTCCAAAACTAATTCCGACACGGAGATCGGCGGAGTTTTTATTCGATCCTTTTTTGGACTCTAGCCATTATAACAAGGCTTTATGTACTTTCGAACCACGACTCGATCTCCAACCTGCCATATTCGTGATTTCCAATCTTCACAACAGGAATCTTCAGTTTAGAGACCAATTCCGCACAAATGTAGCTATTTTGGCAACACAGGTCCAAAACTGATCTCACCAAAATTTGCCTGTGTGGCAAACAGAGGTGTATCTGCAGTGTTGGGGAAAGAGCTACGGCTTGTCGCATTTTTACATTAACAAACGAAGTGGCCTGATGTTCTCTAGGCTTCGTAGCCTTGGCTTTGGGAAGCAGAAGGAAATGGTGGGTTTTTTTGCAAAACTTGCAGGTACCCCCACTTTTACAGTTTTTACTAATGTGGCCACTAGACAAACATCGATAACAAATTTTATATAACGCCACTTTACGGAATCTATTCTCCAAATTCAATTCCTCAAACTTCCGACAGAATCTCAAGGTGTGATTCTTATTTCTGCATATCGGACATTTCTGGCGTGTTTGATGAATGACCGGATTCGAGCCCGAAGCTTCCACTTCTTTATTTGTTATAGTGGGCGGTGGAACTATGGATGGCACTTCAGCAATCTCCATGGTTACCGTTGAAATATTGGACTCCGGGGGTTTAGGAGCGCTCAAATTTAGCATTGCTTCCTTTAGTGCATCAACATTTAGAAACGATGAGTTGGCAACATCCTTTGGATCTTCATTAAGAAGTTCATCTTCCAACAAATCGTTGAGTTGTCTAACAGAGTCCATTATTCTAGGAAAAAGAAAAGTTAGTAGGAAGAAATTGATATGAAATGGTAGGTATTAATTTGGTAAAACAACAAGTTTGGTTATTGGTCTATTAAGAGTTCCGTTCGACGTCCGAACGTCGGCAAGGCAAACGTGACCATCAGTACCATTGTAAACTTTCATTACTCTACCTATCTTCCATGCAGTAGCAGGTAATTGCTCATTTCTCAAAACCACTAAATCATTTAGACTTACATCTCTTTGAGGATGTTGCCATTTGTATCTTTTGTGCAAAGTGACTAAATATTCCTCTTTCCATCTTTTACGAAATTGATGAATAAGTGCGTTCAATTTCCGATATCGATTTACAATACTAATCGAACTTTCATAAATTGTCGGTTCTGGCGGTGCCAGTATTGCAGAACCTATTAAAAAATGGCCCAGTGTGAGCGCAATAGGTTCGCTTGGATTGTCCGGCATGGTATACATGCCGACAAGCTTCGATCCTAGCCAAAATTGTCGATATTTCTTCGAAGGTGAATTTACAATCTTTAACTTCTTTCCTAAAATGGAGTTTGAAACTATTGATACCAGCTTCCCATAGGCCTCCCATATGAGGTGCGCCGGCTGGAATAAACTTCCATGTCAAATTCTCATAACCAATCGAAGAACACATTCTCACTTGACATTCCTTAAGAAAAGTCTTAACATTTTTAAAAATCTCATTGAGGCCCCTACGAAGTTTGTTCCGTTATCCGAAAATATTGTTTGAGGACAACCTCTTCGTGAAATGAACCGATCAAAGGCGGCTAAAAAAGCATCAGTGGTTAGCTCCGAAGTTGCTTCCAAATGTATAGCTTTGGTCGAAAAACAAACAAAAACACATACATAACCCTTTGTTATTCGACACGATCTACCCGTAAAGGTTTTTACATCGAACGGACCTGTAAAATCAACCCCAGTGGTTGTGAATGGTCTATCGATATTTGTACGCTCCTTTCGGAGGAATCAGAGAATATATGAATTTCAGCAGCCGAATCTTTCGAATAATTAACCCATCTTGGAATCTTGATAAGATTATCTTGGTCAAACAACTTTACAAATTTCAACCACTCTTCCCTAGTCGAGGTTGGTACGGAATTGGATGGGATGACGCATCCAATTCCGTATAGCCAGATGCGTTGCATAATTATCATGGCTATGATAACGACTGGACTTAACCAACCTACTGGATCAAAAAACTTGGCAATGGTCGATCGTATAAGAAGATTTAGCTGCTAAAGGACATACCCTAAAGTAAAAAGAGTCTATCTGCGCATTCCAATATATGCCTAACGTTTTCGAACTAGTAGACTCCATAAATGTTAGAAGCTTGGCGTCAACTAAATGATCAGTTGGCAAACCTTTCAAGATTGACTTATCAGTCCATTTTCTTAATTCGAACCCAGCAGACGACAAAGCCGTGATCAATTGGTCTCTAGCTAACAACGCACTAGAAACGTCGTGAGCTCCAGTCAATACA